TTCCAGATGCCCATATTCGTGTGGAGAACTACGTTAATCAGAATTTGATGCCTCTAGGTGCCTTTGGTTTTTCACATTGCGAGAAGCATAGATTCATTCATGCAGATTCTTCTTAATTCAGTTTCTTTAAATATAATGCAGGGCTCCAATATTTGGTGGCAACAATTTGAAAAGTGAAACTCCGTTTTATAGTGGACGACACAGAATGCCAAAAGGAAATTATTATCTCTTCTGGGCAAATTGCCGCTTTGGGCTAATTAAAATGAAGATTTATGGAGATGTTACAAATTAAAGTTAGCACTATATCTTTTGTATTTTTTAATGTAAATTTACTTTATATTTTAATAATTAATTTAGCTACTGTCGAATGGCATTCAGATTAAAATTAAATTCCATAACGCTATCTCTGTGTTTTGTGAGATAATAATTCAAAAGATCCAGGAAACTGGTTAGTATTTCATTCTAGGAAATATAAAACTGTTTGCTATCATTTTTGTTTTTTACAAATCTTTCATTCACACTTCAGGTAGAATATCTCATTTATACATAAAATATCTCAAACACGATTATTTAATTCTGAAAAGCGTCTGATTCAAATCTGTGTACCTTAACTATAAAATAGTGTTTTAAAAGAGCAATGTAGTTACAAAATTATTCACTGGATTTGCTTTAAATGATAATGAAGCAACCCAGAAATTGAAAAGTGCATTTGATCCAATAATACATTTCGGATGCACAGTCGTTACATTTTCTTCTCTTTTACATATTTTTATGCATATACATTAGTTTCATGGTTCCAAGATTTTTCTTAGTGAGAGGAAACATAAATAATATTTTTAAATGTTTAAGAATTCAGTATTCTTGTGAATCTCAGAACTCAGCATGTTTGAAACAAAATGGTAGAAGATATAATCCTTTAAGTGATAATTATATTCAGACAGATTCTTACTGTTCTTCAGATGAAACTATCACTATGATTTAAATTTAAGCCTCTTATTGCGTAAAGTCAGTAACAAGCTGACTTCTTAAGCTGGTAAATTGTTTAGGTTTCTTTGACTTGGAAAGGTAAGGATGCGACTTGATTGAATCGACTTGCATCCTCAACCTCACTTTAAGTCAAATTATTTATTATTAAGTTATCTTAATAAATAGTGAGAGGAATCATAAAATTGATGATCTTAAATTCAAATTTTTGTGATCTTAAATTCAAACCTGGTGATCTTAAATTCAAATTTCAGATGCCAAATGCACAGTCTGACTATGGTTGACACGGTAGAATTTTTTTTTTCTTTTTCACTAGAAAAATGAAAATATTTCATCAAAAAAAATTAATTTAATTTTAAATTTTGATTATTTAATATTTATCAAAACATACATAACCAAAAATAATAATACTAGAGAGAAAACATCTTAGTAACTTCAAGTTATTTTTGTCGCTTACACTTTGTAATTCAAATGTAGTGATAGCTAAATGCTGATATTTCAGAGTGAAGTTTATTCCAAATAATTAAAATATGTTCAATGAGTCATTAAACAGCATATTTAAACTAAAAATAAGCAAATTATTGAAATTTTGTAAGGTAGATAAAATTGTAAGGTAGATAAAATTTGAAAATTAATAATGACAACCTAGTCTCTTTCTCGCTTAAATTTTTCTTTGGCACATAAATTGTAGATGTTCACTGGTCAATCGAGTTTTTTTTTTTTTTTTTTTTCTTATTGACTTTCAACTGTAAAAAAAGAACTGTTAAAAATATCAGTGTAACAGCATCTTGTATCTTATACTTTAATGTCATTTTCTTATACTTTAATGTCTTATACAAAGCGTAGTTATTTTTGGACAAGTAAAAAAAAAATTAATCAAATCGGTATCTTCAAATTTTTGAATAAGATTTATCCCACATTTAAAATTAGTTGACTCAATTTATAAATCTGGTACGTTATTCATGTTCCTTTTTAATGATAATAGAAACAATATAAATTCGGATTTAACTGAAATGCCTGCAACAACGTATATTTGCAATAAATACATAATTACATAATCAAAATGTGTTCACAGGCCGCATAAAATTGCTTCGGGGATCGCATGCGGCCGGAGAGTTTGAGATTACTGGTGTAACCCATGGTCAGAAGATGCACAATACACAAGGTTAGGCTCCTACCAGCGCTGACGTCACTGACTTACACAAAGGGGAAGAAACGATAACCTAAACGGAGTATTAGTTGCTTTTAAGCAGACTAAAAGTCAGTGACGTCACATAAGAATACCAGTAGTTTAGTAACCTCGTTATAGCTTGTATGGATTTCAATACATAAATACTTTGCGACTGTAAGACAAGCTGTACCAACGTCTAACATACTTAACAAGCATCTGCGTTTCTTGCGTAATATGGATTTCATTTAACAAGTACTTTTATTGTTCTGATAGTAATCGAAACTCGAAGGTTATGATGGCATTCCTCTTCTTTTTTCATATGGAATAATGCAGGGTTTATTTAATATTTTTAGCAGTGGCCCAAAAATACCTAATTTCTAGCGCCTGTTTAAATATTTTTTATTTATTTGATGCAATAAGAAGAATATTCTAATAAAAGAATTCAGGGTAAGTAATAGATCGTGATTTAGTCATTGTAACCAAAGTAATTAATCATGATAACCATAATTAATTAATCGTAGTAACCCCAGTAAATCATGGTTAAAAATAATATTCTAGTAGAAGAAATTATGGTATTGTATTATTAATTGTATATCATTGTTGTGGAAGTTTCAAATGGTAATCCAAAAGAGAAGGTGATTGGCCTAATGGTGAAATACATGTAGGCGAAACACCAGATTTATATATTCGTGTTTAACTCTTTCGCATCGAAGTCGCTCGTAACGCCCGTTCATTCAGGCAACGGCAAACCGTCCCAACGCCTCGTTTATTTTCTACCTAGTTCTTTCCCCTCCACGTTAGTGTATGGCTCATTGGTTTCGCGAGATGTTAAAAGACATGTCAATCATTCTTTTGAAGCAAAAAAAGGAGAAATACGGAAAGCTATTGGCGTTCGCAGGTGCAATCCGGCCCTAAGGTGAAACTGCACACAATAGATGAAACCGCAGAAAAACCTCCAAGAGAGAAACCGTCATTTCACTTAGTAGGTTATTGTTAATGCTGTAGGCAGGGGCTACCAGGCAGGGGGAAGGAAAACTATTCCAAGACAAATTCGTAAACACGGGCGTGTTCGATGTTTGTTGAAAACAGATTTGGTCGTCTCTCGATGCGAAAGAGTTAAGTTGGTTTGGTTTAAGATGGGTAACCAAACATGGGATGGTTTAAGAGAAAGGTAATCTTCTCTAAAATAACAAATTTCAAAAAACAAAAATCAATCTAAATAACAAAGAAAAAAATAACATCAAGTTTGGATTTAGGAAATTATATTTTCCTCTTAAATGCAAAGTTCGCATAATTTATTTAAAAAATTATTCCAAGAAATAACCCTCTATAACTCAAACGCTGAATTCAATGCGATCTCGAAATAAATACAGACTATCGTGGAAAGATTTCTTCAATAAGTGGTAGTTAATGATTGAAATTAATTAAATGGAACTTGACGATTAACTCTCACTGTGCCTTCATTGTTCTTTTTCTCTCCGCGCTACAGTCCAATGATTAAATAAATAAAAAAATTTCTAGGTGGCAGTGGAGATACAACTAGGTTCTAACGCTTATTTAATACATTTTTTCCGATACAGAAGAATTAAGAAGAATATTCTGACAGACGAAATCTTGGTACTTACTTGTATTATCACTTTTGGATCATTGCGAAGGCTGTTTTAATTGGAAATCAGATAAGGACGATCATTAGTCTAATTATTGGAGTTCTTGTAGAGCACAAATCGTGCTTACATACTTCTCATTATTGCAAAAGATAATCACCCAGTTAAAATTATCTTAAATGAAAATTTTAATTTCCATTTCAGGCACAAAAATATAAAAAAGTATAATGAAATATATGAGTGTAGCAAAAGAGGCTCTACTTTAAAATAAGGGCTTTAAATCTTTACAGCGAGTGAAATTTTTCGTTTAATACACTGGTTATTATAAATTAAGGAAAAATCACAAAATCACGATTACTGAAAAAGTTACATGTAGAATTTAATGAAACTTAACCACAATATACAACATATAGTAAGGTATCAAATAACATAAAAAGAAATTATCAGATAAATATAGTAGTATAGAAATTAGCTTCGTAAAGCCTTCTACGCACAGTTGACGTTGACACGAACCTTCCGGTGGCTGCAGCAAGGGAGGATCTAAGAAGAGTCGGAGTAGCGGTTCTATTCCTGCGTGCACATAATGTCAAATATCGGTCATCGGCGCTCGTCGTAGCAGTTAGCTGTCCTTGGCTGAACCTTCTAGATGCCGAATCTGTGGTTTGAAATTGCCTCCAAAGTCTATAAACCACAGAAGTACTCACATTTAGCCATTTGGCCACTTCTGTTTGACTTTGTCCTGCTTCTAGTCTACCAATGGCTCTCCATCACAGTTCTGCAGGCAAATGATGCCTGGAGGTCATTGTTACGAATTGACTATCTCAGATTTCTGATGTCACTGTCACAATGAAATATGTGGGCTTGCTCTCAAACATGGACTTTTATGCTTCTTGCAGATGACGTATTCCGAAAGCAGCGCCACTAATTTGCATATCGCAGTTTTACTCAGCTACTCTTACTTGGCAACATTCAAATTTTACACGGTTGTGCTTATTTTTGAGAGAGGTATCGCTATTTTTGTGATTTTTCCTTAATTTATGAAAACCAGTGTAATTATCTACTTAAGAAAAAAATTATGATTGAGTAAATGAAAATTGCATGCGTTCCAATCAGTAAAGCCAGCTGAGCGATATTATAGTTCTAATAACTTTGTGCTTTGAAAACACCTCTCATAATATATATACTAATGAAATACAGGTTGAAATCTCATAATGTTCCCTTATGAATATTTTTCTTTGCAGTTCGTCCTGTTTCAGTGAAGATGGAAGGTGGACCACGGCCGATGTCAGCTGAGAAAGCGGTAGATTTAGTATGCAAAAGCGCTGGATCCAAGCCCCCAGCTGTTATCTCATGGTGGATGGGTACCACAAGGCTAAAGCACAACAAAGATACAGTGTCTGCTGATGGCAACTTTACTAGCAGCGTGCTCAATTTCAAACCATCCATCGATGACAATGGGAAGCAATTAACATGCAGAGCAGAAAATCCTCTCATAGCTGGTTCTGCACTGGATGACACATGGGATTTAGAAATACACTGTAAGTCAAATTTAATATTACAAAAACTTATTAAACATTTTTACTTCATTTGTAACATCACTCACGTCTTCAGTATGCAAATGTTTTTACACTTGCAGAAGTATTTTTAAACTTTTTTGTATTTATGCATATTTGATGAAATGAAAATAATTTAAGTATCAAAATTTTTATTGCGGATAACTGAATAAATTTATAATTAGTTTTCTCTTAGATAATTATACATAATTATAATTAATAAATATTATTAATAATTTAATAAAAAAATCGGTTACGCTGAATGACCTGTATGAGAGTTCATCTTAAGTATACATATAATTTCATTGCTCAGCAGACTGTCGAAACTCTACTGAAAAATAACAGTAGTAGATCAAAACGATCACTGATTTTCCCTGAAAATGACGCCATTGTCTTTTGACTAATCCTTTTAAGTATTTTGCTGAACGGCAGGAATTCGTCATTGTATTTATAATCAAGAACAGGTTTGTTTGGATAAATTTTAACATGCATAAATGGCTCTGGTAGATTTTTTTCAAATTTAAACATGTGCAAATAATTAATTCAATTAGTTTTTCAGATTTGATGAACAAAAATCTTCGTACATATAAAAAACAATTAGTGTTTTTTTTAATTCTATTTTTTTACTTCTTTGTACAAAGGAAGTACTATAACTACGAAAAATTACGGTATCATATTTCAACGGAAATATCAATTTTGACTCTTTTTTACGTCACGGCCGTACGAAAGGAAATAATAAAGGACTCTTTTCCCAAACAGATTTTATAATGGATTCAAAATGGATCTGATCGTGACTTCTGTACGTACGCATGTACGTACATTGTGATATCTGCACCTATGAATGTATCTCGCAAAACTCAAAATCGTTGAGTCGTAGAGCATTGCAATTTTATATAAGGGACTGCTATAATTTGCAGTTAATTATCAACGTTTTTCGTTGCTATCGGCTCCACGGGGAACCGCACATATATATGTATATATATAATGCCACTCTTTTACCCGGACTTTTGAACTCAGTTTTTTATTCTTATATGCTAGTAAATTGTGCATTTTTTGCTTTAAATGTGACTGATGTTCTTATATTCCGGTTAAAAGTTTTACGTCCTTCAGTTTGTATTCAAATACTGTAGAATTATCAACAGTTTAAATGTTTAACTGGCGCTAAGCCTAACGAGGATTCCATTGGCTTACATTTGAAATTCTTAGTAGAATAATGAATTAAGAAATTGGTGCACCAATTCCAATGTCTTTTTGCCTTGTGTGACCAAACGTGAACTTTCAATGTTGCGCACCGGAAACTTTGTTTTTGTGCCCGTGGTCGAATTTCTACTTTTTGTGTAAAATATCTAATTGCAAAAAAATGTTTTTAACGTTTTAAATGTATTTAGTGTGTTTGGTTTTTTCCATATTTTACAATTTTTGATGAAGATTGAATTTTTATGTATTTTTGTCTTGCCGCGAAGTGAGACTGAATTCATTGAATTAGAAATATATCTGTAATGAAATTCGATGAAATAAGTTTGAATGAAGCGCAGCAAAAAGCTTTTATAATTTAATAGGCTGTACAAGGAAGTCATGGGGTGTGCACATCAAATGTTTTTATATTATTTTCTCAACATAAAATAATGTTACTTTATAAAAGTAAGGGAGATATACATATTTTTAAATATATGCAATTTAACAGCAAAACAATAATAATTTGTATCGTAATTTATTGTCTTTTTTACGTGATACTAAATACTTTAACCGCCTATTCTTTCTTCTTTATGATATGAGAAAAGGAAATTATCAATCATTTTACTTTTAATATAAATATTTACATAAAGTTTTTAAATTAATTATCGAAATTGAAGATAGTTTTCACGGTGCTAAAACGATTAAGGGCTCTTACTCCTCTAAGTTTGCCTTTTTGTAATTATCTTCTCTGCTTTCTTTTGCTTTCGATAATTGCGTTACGATGTTTATGCAAATAAAATGTAATTAGATCTAGACCAACATGTTTCATCCTTTTTCTTAAATTATTGACATCTGGTAAATATTCAATGCTTTTCTAAATTTTAATGATAACTAATTTAAATTTTCTGGTTCCGGCAGAAGTGGAATTACAGAAATTTAAGTATTAATCTTCTGTCACACATTGTTTCAACTTTCGTAACTGAGTTTTGTGGGATTAAGCATATAATCTGCATATATACACAACACAAATAAGTAATTAGTAATTTACTTATGCATTGTTAAAATCTAGAAACATGACTAATTCCAAACAAAAGAGATATTGCGCAACATGAACCAAGTTGTAAAGATCTTAAGTTTTACTAACGTTTATTTTATTTTAAATCTTTACTATCACTTCTTATTTTCTACTTCCGGCCATAATTAAAAGCTTTAACTTATTATGCAAATTGTCTTGCGAACGCCAAGTACTTAAGTTGTGGCTTTTTGCAAGCAGAGAGGAGGAAGGAGTTAGTAGAGAGCAGGCCGCTGTCATAGTCGTTTTACTCGGTTGCTGGTTGCCTTCAAGGCAGAGGTAATCCTCTTGATAATTTAAACGTTATCGTATGTTAGCAGTTCTCGTACTACATACGGCTTTTGCTATATACGGCCATTGAAGTAGCACTGTTTGATTAATCCAAAGTTAAGTTACTTAGAGATTAGTTAATATTTTTTTCTTCGTTCAGACCACAAGTGGTTGGTCTCGTATTCCGAAGTCCGAAAATCATTGTAAAGAGAGAAAAATAAAGGGTTTCGGTATACCCTTCCTTGTGTATTGTCTATCCCAAATTTTGAACTAGCTTTAGTAAGCTCCCAGTCCGGTCAGGACATTAATGTTCCCAAAGCAAGTAAGGAGGAACACCAGAACCGATAAGTAATTACAAAAATTGTCTCTTGCGATTTTATTTAATTATACAATGTGTGCAATGGGGTCAAATTTTCCTTAAAGACATTTATATAATAATATTTTATAAATAACCATTCTAATTTATTTTAATCAAATCAGCAAGATGTAAATCTAACTCTTATTCAGTTACGTATAAAATGCTGGTTATTGAGAATACTATCAGTCTAACGTTTCATAGAATTAACAAAAGGAAAATTTAAATACCATAATCTAATTCATATTGACCAATCTGTTTACAAAATAGAAATCATGGTAAGACTTCATCCAAACTTTTTCCATTCTGATGTGCGCTTTTTATATACGCAGATGTCTGAAAGTTTCACAAAGTCGCCATTCAGCATTCCCTCAGGTTGACAGAAAGTGGCGCTTTTGCTGTTTTTTAGTTATAAATGCTTCATTGTTCAAGATCATTTATCAAGATAATTTTGCACGTCAGAGTATGGTAACGCAACCTTATCTGCGCTGTCTTCGTTATATCATGTGAAACGTGTTTCTAAGGTAACATAAGACTCAACCGGCGATTATAAACAAATGTACAGCAGCAGTCTAGAACTCCGATGCAGTTATGATAAGATGCATTTCGCATTAGCTTACCTACTACATTTATCCACTTCCAAAGTAGAGAGAAATATCGGCTTCATATATGAATATTACTGCTTGTAATTCACAGAGGTTATTTATTATTTCCAAGCATTTAATTTAGCATCCGGATACATTATAGCTTTGAAAATTCTCACAATTATGTAAAGTGGTTTTTTTTTTTTTTTTTTTTTTTTTTTTTTTGAGTAGGGCACAGTGGCGGGCTCTAGCCATTTATAGGGTTTGGCCATTACTAAGACGATTACTTATTACTTTATTATGAGGGCACCTAATTGGTACCCCTATAATAAATACCTTTGTCTCCTATGAAGGGACAGACAAATTGCATCCATGCCTTCTCCGGGATTCAAAGAACAGCAGTCAAAGTCACTACTGACTTTGAACTGTTGGGACTGACTGACCTTCCTGTTTATATTTTTTGCCAATGGTGGCCACTGGCAATTGAGGGCGTTGGTCACAACTAAGGCAGGAATCATGGAGGCTATTAACAAGTGGGCCACTTTGTCTCCTATGAGGAGACAGACAATTTACACCATGACGTTTCCGGAATCCGAAGCCGGGTCCTTCGGTATGGCAATCAAAGTTGCTAAACACTTTCCTGTCCGGGCATTACTACTTTGCTTACCGAATTCCGCTTGTGCAATATCTCGCTGAACCAAAATGAATTAAGGCTGAACCACTAAGTTAGAAAAGTACTCACTTCCATTTTTTTTCATTGAATTTATTTCCATTTTCTTTTATTCAAAAGGAAATATGGGCTGTCTAATGTAAACAAAGCTATTATTTGCAAAACTAGTGAAATCTCTGTCCGGAAGAGGAGCTTAAAGAGCCTGCTTTACTCAATGAGTTAAGTTAATTACAATTTGTGTTCAGCTTAAAAATTTCTCAGACGTAAATGAATTCAATAAACGGAAATATTAAAGACTTGAATAAATAACTGAAAAAACCTCCAATATATCTCAAGTAAATATATACTATTCTGTGAAGAAGGATGCCTTTATTATTCACGGTGATGCAGAAAAATATTTGTAATTTCTTTTATATGAGTCCTGCCTCGAACTTTTAACACTATTTTGTACTTAGAGGCATACATTATATCTTTTATGTTATTTAAATAAAAACCAGGTTTTAAAACCGTATTTTAATTCCTTTCATATTCTAAACATATTCATTGGTAGCATTATCGAACATTCCAAGATCTTCTACCTCTCTTTCCGCACCAATCAAAACACTCAAAAAGAACTCGCGGCTCATCGAGTGTAGGTGCGGACCTACTCTTGGCATTTTAAGCGTCCTCATTCTGCACAGGCACTTTACACCTACAAATATCCATGGCTTCACAGGAATTCGAGGCAGACCCACCGATACGGCAGCCAGCATTGTTAACCATTATACCGACTGGAGCGATTACAGAAAAGACAGTGAGCGCAATGTAGAATGGGCAGAAACTGAGGTTGTGATAAAGATCTAGTCAACAGACTGGACA